ATTTGCTATTTCCTATTTGGTGAAAATCACATTATTTAAGCGCTTTTCTAATGGCCTATTAAATTAATAATTTATCGTCTGTGTCTGTGTCTGTGAATTAGTGTGTGCCTGTGCTTGTGTCTGTGCTGTAGTGTAAAATAAATTACACGAGCTTTGCTGTAGACAATTAAGTTTTGATGTGTTATAAGAGAAATTGTGTATTTTAATGAATTGCCAACGGCTTGAAATAGTTCCTTCCCTACACTTTAAATAATTGTAAATATTAATTTTATGCTTTTAAATTATTAATTGCAAAAAAAAAATTATTTGTACACGTTTTGCATCAATTTAGTTATATTTAAATAAAATAAAATTTATTTACAGGAAATTTTCTTTCATTTGAGAATGATTTATATTTAACGTACTAAAAATTCTTCTCTTCAAGAATTTCTTCATGAATTCCAAATGTGCTGTTTATCTAAATGAACTTTTAAATAAGGAAAAGAACTGATGTTTTTTGCAATTAAATTGAAATATAATTCAGAAGATATAAATAATTGTTAAATGTTTAAAAAAAATAATAATGAATTTAATTTTTTTAACGTCAGTTATGACGGTAGTGTCTATTTTACTTAATATTAACTATTGTATTTAATAGTGAGGTTTCGAACAGTAGTGAAATACAACAAAAAAAATGTAATAGTTATTATTTTTAATTAATTGAATTTTTGGCTGACCAGACAGCTGTTTCTAGTATTGTCAAATACCCGTCGTAGAGTAGCATTAACAGACTTTTACCGTATTATGTTCCTAGATTAGGTTCTATACACAAGAAAGAATAATGTGAATCATGCTATAAATAATGCCTCTGCAAAAGAATAGTATTAATAGTATTAAAAAAGGAATAACTATAATTAATTAATATAATAATTCTATAGCTACTTTATGACTTCTTTCTAATATAACAATGTAAATGAATTTTTTAATGAACTTTCACAGCAAATAATCAAAACTCCAAAAACGAATAACAAGAAATAATTCCGAGACCACTAATGATGAGTATTTAGCAATACTCGAAAGAGTCAGGCAAAAATTCATTTAATTAAAATATTAAAATAATTTTTGTTGTTGTAGTTGACTACTATTCGAAACATTTCTAAAAAATAATAATAAAATATTGCAATAAAAATATTTGAATACGGTTATTGAGTTTCCCTAATTTTCTCTTCTTTGTTTATTTGTATAAAAGTTGTATGTAAAATTATTTTACAATTTAACTATATAGGATTATAATCAAACCCATAACTTTGTAAAATTCATTTACTTAAACTTACTGTAATAACAAAGGAGAAAAAATTGTGACTTAATAAAAATAGATATCGTAACATATATGTCATGTAATAAAGTTTTTCTAGAATAAGGAATTTGATTACAGATATGTCATCAATTATAGTTTTAAATTTTCTTTTTGCTTTATAAAATTTAAATGTACCAACCGTTTTACTTAATTTTTATTATTTTAATGAAATGCCACTATTCTATCACCTAATAGAAAAGTGGCAATTATCAAAGCATATCCATCAATGTCATAAGATTATTTCATTATTATGAATTGATGAATAAGAATTAATGAAAATGTTTATTTTATTTATATTATTTAAAAAATACAAAAAAAATTTTAATTGTATTCCCTCTTAAACTAAAAATTATATACTTATAGTACATGATCGCTTTGACACTAAAAGCAAGTGCGCTGGAACTACTAAATAATTGATCTGTATTTAAAAATGAAATCTAAAAACACATTTTAAGAAATCTTTCCTTGTTAGTTCCATCTTAACATTAGATCTTCAAGCACTCCTTTAATTTGAAAAAAAGCATTGCCATTCTATA